GAAAATATTCCTACCTGGACTGCTTCTCCTGTGGGACTTTCCTGCCTCTGACCATGTTGGGGGATGGAAAGGGCCTGGCCCAGGAGTCAGGAGTCTGTTCAGTAATGAATTTGTCTGTGATTTGGCTGGGCCTCATTGCAGAACTCACTGTCTTTCTTTAATAGAAGAGTGATTTTCCTTCTTTCCTGCCTTTTCCCCTATCTACTTTCCTTCTTTTCCTTTAATTATTTATTATGGGAAATTTCCATTTCAAACATAACTAAATGTAGAAACAATAGTACAATAAGCCCTCACGTACTCATCAGCTTTAAGAGCTAACATCATATAACCCATCTTGTTAATCCATACCTCTACTCACCTTACCCCTGGCTTCTTTTTCTTTTTAATCCTCACCCAAGGATATGTGTATTGGTTTTTTAGAGAGAGCGGAAGGGACAGAGAGAGAGAGAGAGAGAGATTGGTTTCTTCTCCTATGCACCACGAATGTTAACCAAATCCAAACCCCAGGTATGTACTCAGACTGGAAATCAAACCAAATCTGCAACTTTTTTTTCTATTCAGTGTATAGAACAGCGCTTTGACTAACTGAGCCACTGGCTAGAGCACTGGCAGAGAGTCTCAGGAGTGGCTGATTTCTCAACCAGGAGGGCACCTGCAGAGAGTGGGTCATGTCTGGCTCCTCCCCAGAACAGTCCTCAGGCCCTGAGTTACATTTCAGCAATGTTTGGAAGTTGCCAGTGTGACGAACTTGCACACTTGTATCAGATTCACTCCTGGTATTTGGTCTTCCTGACCCTTCATCATCAAATTGGATCCGGGTCACCTCCACCTCCTTTCAGGATATGGCTGCTGCTGGTGTCAATAAACAGAGAGCGTCTGCTCTGACAGGGCCCTGCACTGGTCACAGAGTACACAGCTGCCAACCAGGCAAACGGTTTAGTCCAGGGCAGGGGACAGACATGAAAGGGATAAGTACTGAACTCTTTTTTAAAGTGCAAGTAAAGGAACCCAAAGGGAATTGGTAACAAGAGACTTGACATAATCTCAGGAGTGAGTGAGTGAGTGAGTGAGTGAGTGCGTGAGTGCCCCGAGGAAGTGCTTTTTGGACTGACACCTGGCAGATGAGGCCGTGATCCATAGTTCATGGCATAAATGATGTGTGTGTGTGTGTGTGTGTGTGTGTGTGTGTGTGTGTGTTGTAAATATCCTTTTGAGAAGAAAAAAGGGAGGCTTTAGTGGTAGTTGTGGGACATGTCTGATGATGCCAATGAATTTAAGTAATTTAGTAAGTACCCAATCACCTCATACAATTCAGGACCCACACTTTTTTGTCTGGAGTTCCTTCTCCAGGCTGCTTTCAGCACACAGAATGTAAGCAGGCATGAGTCTTTGTGCAGGCCTGAGTGATGGGATATGAAATGTGCATCAGTTGGTAATTCCTGATACAAGTGTTTCAAATTCCTCTTCACATGCAGCCCAAATCCAGACCCAGTTACAAACCACAGCTGCACTTTGATGAGTTCTTCCCTCAGTTGGGGCATGTGGTGCCTCTCTTGCCCCTCTAGACTCCTAAGCCTGAGTCCACTACCTCACCCCGCCACACCTCAGGGTGGAAGGGGACTGAGGCAAGTAATGAAAAGTTTTCCTTATTATTTGCAGAGTTAAGTTTGAAGGTTTTTAGAATTTGGAGACTGATTTTTCAACATTGTTAATGAAGCCTTCTTACTACATAAGTGGAAAGTATAAAATTCTCATGTTCACATGTGCTTTTGGTCATTTGGACCAAATCTGATTAAAATCTTCATATGTTCCTGAATTTATGTACCTGTACTTCATTTTCCAGGAGAGAAATTAGGCTTCAGAGGAAGAATTTGTGTGATCACAGGGGGGTGATTGCAGGTGTGGGCAGGTCAAAGGGCTCAGAAACATGGGTCCTACCACATCACTGCCCAACAGAGAGTCTGATGCAAGGAACATGTTGGAAAATAGCAAGTTGAACGAGTAGTAGCAGCCAGTTCCTGTGGCTGTGCTGCATCTAAAAACAATCGAAGCTCAAGGGGAGAACTTGCTTCCACAGGCTTTCCAGTCCCGAGTGGACGTTTTGTCCCTGGATGGTGACTAGGCCTGGAGTGCATAAACCTAGGGCCCACAGGTAACGGATGGGTCCTTGATTGCATGCAGGAAAGATTTCACAACACAAGGTGACTGGGAGACTGTTTGTTAAAGTTTTGGTTAGTGACATAAAGGAAGGGCTTAGAATAGACGAAGCAACAGGAGAACCAACGCCCGCCCGGTTGCTGAGTTCACTAGAAACGTTATCATAAACAACTGGGCCAAGGTGGGGCTGATGTTCCCTCCTTGGAAAATCAGAGAAAGGTGGGGCTGGAGACAGGTTTAGAGGGTCCCTTAGAATTTAAGTGACGCACACTCTGGGGGAAGGAGAGAGGAGAGGGTAAGGCATAGATTTGCTACCAGGAAGGAGAGGGCTCATGCTGGGTCCTTTGGAGGGTTATTAAAGGCTGGGAGTTTAGGGGACGTCGTAGGGGAGATCTCACTAGAATATTCTTGAGTTTTCCATGTGTTTCATTTCAGGGTCATGGTCTCCACTGATTGGTTGGCCCAAGTTATTGCAACTGGTCCTTGATTGGCCCAAAAGGTTTTGCTGCTTTTCTGAGCCTGGAGCTCAAATACAACAGAGACCTAGATATTATCTCTAGGGAGGCCACCTTCTGCAACTGGCTCTAAATTGCTTGGCTAGTTTGTTTGCTGTCTGTCTCGGTTTCCCCATTCCACTTGCCAAGGAATTTTCCTAGCTTCTTACTCTTCTGTCTCATTCTGACAAATGTTTCTTCCCCCAAACCTGATCAACAATACATCCCAACAAATAAAGATCATTTTTCATCAAAGGTCTCACCATTACTAATGACTTAGACCTACCTGCCAGGAGGATTTTCTCAAGTAATAAAAGAAAATATTCCTACCTGGACTGCTTCTCCTGTGGGACTTTCCTGCCTCTGACCATGTTGGGGGATGGGAAGGGCCTGGCCCAGGAGTCAGGAGTCTGTTCAGTAATGAATTTGTCTGTGATTTGGCTGGGCCTCATTGCAGAACGCACTGTCTTTCGTTAATAGAAGGGTTATTTTCCTTCTTTTCTTCCTTTTCCCCCATCTACTTTCCTTCCCTTCTTTTCCTTTAATTATTTATTATGGGAAATTTTCATTTCAAATATAAGCAAATGTAGAGACAATAGTACAGTAAGCCCTCATATACACATCAGCTTTAACAGCTATCATCATATAACCAATCTTGTTCATCCATAGCTCTACTCACCTCACCCTTGGCTTCTTTTTCTTTCTTTTTTATCCTCACCCAAGGATATGTGTATTGGTTTTTTAGAGAGAGGGTAAGGGAGATGAAGGGATAGAGAGAAAGAGAGATTGGTTGCTTCTGGTATGTACCCCAAACCGTGATCAAACCCAAACCCCAGGTACGTACTGGGACTGGGAATCAAACCAAATCTGCAACTTTTTTTTTTTCTTTTCAGTGTATAGGACAATGCTGTGACCAACTGAGCCACTGGACTAGAACACCCCTGGCTTCTTTTGAAGCAAATCCCTAAACATCAGTAAATTCATCTGTAAATATATCAGAATTACTTAACTTATCTATTGCTGTTGCATAGTTGCTAGAAACAGAAATGGGTCTGTGAGATTACAATTTTGTGGGTTGAAATTTTGGGCTGGGATCAGGTTAACGGTCCTTCTGTAGGTTTTGTCTGCTCTCTCTTGCGGGTGCAGTAAGCTGGTGACTTCTTTAGGGTTGGACAGTCCCTGATGGCCTCACTCACATGTCTGACAGTTGACCAAGGAGCCTGCGTTCTCCACCTGGCCTCTCCAGTAGGCTGCCTTGGGCTTGCTCCCATGGTGGCAGTATTCCATGAGTTCCCTCTGGCAAGAAGCAATCTTTTAATTAAAATTTTTTTACTTTACTTTTATTGTTGACATATGTTGACACAGATGTCCCCATTTCTGCCCCCCTTTGCCCACCTGAACCCAACCCCTGGCCCCCCATTCCTCTTGCCGTCACCACACTGTTGTCTGTGTCTAAGGGTTATGCATATATGCTCTTGGTTAATCCCTTCACCCTCTTTCATCTACAACTTCTGGTAAGAGTTAGTCTGTTCCATGTATCCATGCCTCTGTTTCTATTTTGTTCATCAGTTTATTTTGTTCATTACATTCCACTTAGAAATCTTAATGTTGAAAAACTTTCTGATTTAACTTGTGTTTTATTGTTTTATTTTTCCTTTTTTTAATGACTCTAAAATGTCTCATTAATTGGGTGTGCTATAATTTATTGAATAGGTCATCATGATTAAATCATACTTATTCAAGTGTTATTACTACAAATAATTTTTAATCTTAAATGTCCAATCTTGATTGATGTATGTAAGAAGTTGACCAAGAGGGTGAAACAAAAAGGCTAAAATACTGTTGGCATTAGCAGAGCCAAGGGACCTACTGTGGAAAGGAAGTGCACAAAAACTTTCTTTCTATTTCCAGGGCTGCTGTGGATCAATTTCTATGTCTCAGGACCGCTGGAAGGGAGCCCTCACCTCCAGCACCACCAATTCTTTGCCATCGGTCAAGTTAGAAAAATGTGTACCTTTGGGTGGGCTCTGCTCTAAGGGATAAATAGTTGGTGAGAGGCACGTAGGCTGCATTATAGACCCACTCACCCACTCATTCCATCACCCTTATTCATGCATTTTTCCTGCTAATCCTTCCTCACCCACAATTTCCTCACTGAAGTTTCTATTGCATCACAACACATCCTTTTCAAGGACAAGTTGTGATTGATTCTATTTATGATACCCCACACCTTCTCACCTGCTGGGAATCTTTATAGAAGAGACTTAGAAACTGCAAGGAAGCCAGAGGGCGGGGCTTCCAGAAATCATTTATAACCTGCCACTTGCAGAGATCACACAGACAACCACACACAGTTTGGAAGAGCTTCCCAGCAGAAGGCACAACAATGGAATATCTGCCGGTGAGTTGAAAAGGCACAGCCTTCAATGATTCCCGGTCCCATAAGGGAAGGAGGAAAGAGTCTGAGATTCTCTGAGATGAAAATATTGGGAATGTTTTACTGGGGGTTGTGAATGTGTGGAAGAGAGAGGAGGCGCAGGATATCCACTGGCAGCATTTGGTGGTATCTGACTGAGGGTGAACTCTATTGAAAATAGACACTGTGACTATATGCGGGAAGTGAACAACTGACTGGGATGAGGTAGTGTTGCATGGGTGCAATGGGTGAGATTGCACATTTGTCTTCATGCCTCTGAGTATGTGTGTGTGAGTGCAGCTGGGGCAGTGGTTGAACAGCTGTGCATGTCATCATGAGTAGTAATGTTGGGAATTATGTGTAAGACGGTGAGTCCCATGTGTTTGTGTAACTGTGTGTATGATGATCTATGCCTGCATGTTGAACTATGAATATGTGTGCAGATGTGTCTGCTTGTGAGGGTTCTCCCGTACATGGTAGCGACTGTTTAAGTATCTGTGGTTCTTACCATGTGTATCATTGTGGCTCCTAGTGGGTAGAACTGGAGGTTGGAAAAAGTGGGTTTCCCAGAACTCCTTCCTGAGCATTAATGAGAGCACAATGAGCCAGTCCTCAGATGCTTCTTCTTAAGAAGGCTGGGGAAAGATGAACTCAGACTGTGGGGCACAGGATCTCCTGTCTAGGTCAGCACACAGTGACCCCTGCTTCTGTCCCAGGTCTCCTCCCCCAGCCAGTCCTTCCTTTCTCCTAACAACAAAAAAAGGTTAAGCAGATCCTGGCTCCCTGGGGAAGGTGGTTGGGAGAACTGGTTTCAGAGAATGGATCACCTGAAGATGGAAGGAACAAAACCAGCCTCAGTCCAGACAAAGCTTACAGTCATGTCAGGGAACAACCTGTAGATTCTATCTAATTACTCTCCTGTCTCCCGCCCTGTGTGCAGGTACTGACTGTCTTCAGCCACTAGTACACATTCCTGAAAGGACACTATTTCCCCTGAAAATTCTGATGCATATACATGCCACACACAGGACTCTCCTTTTCCATTATTTCCCTCTCCCTTTAAACAACTGTCTTATATTGGAGTGGATTTTTATATTTTATACTTTTGCATTCTAAAGCCTTATCTTCACAGTTTCAGATAAAAACTGATGGGAGGGTGGTATCCCAGAAAGGGCCCTCCCCTTCCGCTAAGTCCCCCTGTATAGACCCTACACCTGCCAGTGACCATGCCAAAGGTTTTACATCTATTAGTTCAGATATTCCTGAGAACATCCTATGAAATAGGAATTTTATCATCCTTCTTGTCCTGAGAAAACGGAGGCAGGGAGCATTCAAGTAATGGAACTCAGTTCTCATTGGTCGTAAGAGACAGAATCAGCATTAGAATCCAGGCCACCTGGCTTTAGAACTCTTGCTGTTAACTTCAACCTTCTCATTTCTTCAAAGACACAGGGACCTGCCTGTGGTGAAGTGGGAAGAAGAGGGTCCTCAGAGTATGTCCTTTGATGTCTAACCTGCTTTGCCACTGGGAACTGTTATAGGATGGGAGACCACACCTGGCCTTGCCCCTCTCAACTACTCTCGTCTCCCATGGCAGGTCCTATTCAAAGAAAATGTATCCATTTCTGTTGGTTCTTCAGTGAAAATCAAAGGGACACCTATCATGCCTTTCTGGTGAGTATCTATAGCCCATTGGGAGGAGAAGTGAGGTTATTAGAGCTTTGGGGGTCACTTCATGCATGACTGAGGTTAAAGTTTGTAATTAGCATAATGGTAGCACAATGCAGTTTCAGTTCCTGGAGACCCATATGGTGCCAGGCAATAAACCTACAGGTGCATGACTGTGGGCAAGTGGTGAAGTCTGGGGCCTGCGGTCACTCAGGCATTGGTGCTGAGGTTTGTTATCAATAAACACAGTATTTCCAGGGCATGAGAAGTAGCCCCAGGCCAGTGACTGCTGCTCAGTGTGAGTCCTGGGCTAAGAGATGAGGCATCTCCCCAGGCTGGTCAGGACAAGCTGAAGCAGCCCCACAGGGACACGTACTGCAGTGTCACCCAGGAAGGCCTTCCTTCCCCCGGAGGAGTTGGGAGGGTGTGCACGTGTGTGTCGAATGTGGGCCCCCATGAGGAAGAGTCTCGCTCAACAGGCTGTTTGCTTTGCCTTCAGCATGACCCCAGAACTGCAGGTGGATTTCTTCACTGCAACTAATGAGGACTCAGACATCGCCTTCAGTCTCCGAGTGTACTTTGGCAAAGAGCTGGTGATGAACAGCCGTCAGGGTGGGAAGTGGGGTCCAGAAGTGAAATCCACTGATATGCCCTTTAGGGATGGCCAACCCCTTGAAGTGGACATCTCTGTGCTGTCAGACAAGTACCAGGTGAGTGTGCCCAGGAACATCCACTAATGGGCTCTCAGGGCTCTCACAGGAGCACACAGCTCTCCCTGGCCTGGCCCCCAGAGTCACTTGTGGTTCATCTCCTGCCCCTCTCATCACACAGCACCCTCTGCTTGTACTGCCATGCTCAGGTCCTTTTCCAAATCTAAGCAGGTCAAGATCAGCACCTGTGCCTTATTCTCCAGGGTGGAGAAGTTCCTGTGTTCACTCACAGCCATCGTTTCTACCTATGCTGTCATTCCTTCACTTTTCATGTAGGAGATTGTTAAACTATGCATATAAATAATTATAATCAGTCTAAAATTAAGTCTTTCCTACATTCCCAAACCCAGTCCCCCTCTCCAGAGCAAAACTTATTAATTCCTTTATGCTCCTTCCAGAGATACTGGGTGATTTTTCCAGCCTATCTATCATCTATCTATCATTTATCTCTGTCTGCTTTTATTTTTTAACAAATGATGTTATAAGTTTCTCTAGAAATCACACATTGATGACTAGATTTTATTTGTTGTCAAAGAATGTATGTTAGAGAAACTAACATCATTCCATTTGTGATGCCCCCACATCCTTTAATGTTTGTATAATATTCCAATAGAAGCATTTTCAGAAAATTTAACTTGACCCTTATTAATGCACATTAAGGTGGTTTCCATATTTTGCTCTCATGAATGATGCTTCCTTCTAGATCACATTTTTGTCATTATCAACCTCCCTATTCTTATAAGGAAGGATACTTTCAGAGGAATTGAATAACTAGTTCAAAAAATGTGTGCATTTTAAATTCGCAAAATTAACACCTAAAAAGTCCTCTATTTCTCCATAGCCACACCCATAAAGTGTATGTTTAAACCTTCTATCACTGGAGAAGCAAAAAGATTTACTGTCCTATGTTTAAAGTGAGGCATTGTTCCATTTGCTTATAAACTGAATAAAAATATTATCATTTTAATCCTATGTACTATTCCTCCTCTTTAGGAACATTCAAATTTTGGCTCAGTAGTTAGAGCATTGGCCTGCACACTGGAGGGTCTCAGGTTCGATTCTCCATCAAGGCATGTATCTGGGTTGCAGGTTCAATCCCCGACCCCATTGGGGCGCATGCAGGAGGCAACCAATTGAGTCTCACATGGGTCTCTCTCTCTCTCTCTCTCTCTCTCTCTCTTTTCTCCCCTCTCCCCCCTCTCTTCCACTCTCGCTCTATAAAAATAGGAAAAATTAGGGTAAAAAAGACTTTTATTCTTTACCTTTACCACCCCAAATCTGAGCTACTGAGTCAACAGGAGTAAATGGCAGTAAAATTTAGCAGAGCTAAAACGAATGCACTCAATAAACACTTAGTGACCAATTAGCCTATGATGCTCTGTGCAAGACCCAGACTCACGATTCATGAAACAGTTCCTGGCCCGAGGGAAGCCCAGGCAAACATAGACAGTGCAACATAGAGTGCTAACACCTCAGTGGAAGAATGAGAGAAACACGAAAAATAGGGTGAATAACTGTCTGAAATAGTCAGAAAAGGTCGGCTATAAAAAGAAGCATGTCAGGCTTTAGAGTGTGACTAGGAGTTTCTGGTGGGTGGCGTGTGTATAGGGTAGGAAAGGAAAGGAAGACGGTAAGTTTGTTTGGTGGCATGCTATATTTCTGATACATACTCTCTTCCAGGTAACAGCAAATGGTGCCAAATCTTACCCTTTTTCCCATCAAGTTGACTCAGCATCTGTGAGGATGATCCAGGTGTGGAGAGATGTGTCCCTGACCTCAGTGGAGATTATCCCTTAGAGAAGGGTGTGACCAGACTCCCCGTTGTCAAGGAGATCCCTCCACCTAAGTGATCCTGTGGTTCCCAGAGCTCACTAACAACATGGGTTCTCACCCTTCCCCCACACTTGGTCATTAAAACTCCTGAAAACATAACAAGATTTGCTTCTTGCTTCAGAGGGAAAAGAGAGAGGGAAAAAAGAGTATGTGGTTATCACCAAGAGGAGTGTGAGAATATTGTGGGAGAAATCAGGGTGTCAAAGTGGATAAACATTTCTCTGATACAAGGAGTGAGTATCAGGCTCATGAAATATCTGAGAAGACATTGGAACCTTATTCTTATGATGTAGTGCTTAGGATATGTTTAGAAACTCAGAAGCAAAATCCTTTCCCAATTTCAGATACCTAAACTAAGACTATAGGCATCTGTCTGCACACATAGTGCTATAATTGGTGGTTTGGGAAGAAACTTTGCACTTTAATGCAAATCGGGTGAAAAGTCTTAATTCTTCCTTTATGCTAAGGATGTTTAATATATATTGACACTGTGCCAGGTTTTGTGTAAGATGCACTGGGGAAAATGAAGAAAATGACAAGGCCAGCACTTACAATTTTTTTAATCCTCACCTGAGAATATATTTTTATTGATTTTGAGAGAGAGAGAGAGAGAGAGAGAGAGAGAGAGAGAGAAACTCAATAAAAGAGAAACATCAATGGGTTGCCTTCCATATGTGCCCTGACTGGGAGCCCAACCTGCAACCTTTTGGTGTATAGGATGATGTTCCAACCAACTGAGCCACTCGGCCAGGGGGCACTTAAAAAATTGTAATCCAAGGACTATTTGAAGAACCAAAAAGATTTGCCTGAAAGATTTTTCTATTATTCAAACAATTGCAAGATTTTTTCAATTTATGTGGGGAGAAGCCTGGGGCATGTTTGATAATGAATTGTCACCATTTTAAACCAGGGAGGATAAAAATTGTTATTAAAAAAAGAACAATTTATATACCTGGGTGAAATGACCAGACTCTGGTTTTGATGTTGTCCCACTTAATCATTACAGAATAACAAACCTCCCCAAAACATATTGGTTTAACACAATAATTTATATTATCTCTCTCCGTTTGGCAGGGTTACTGCACTCATATGGGTAGCGGATCATGTGGCCTTAATCAAATTGCGGTGGGAAGTGAAGTTTTCTGATGGATATTTTCGTCATGTCTGACACTTCACTTGGGCTGGCTGATGCAGCTGGGGGCTGGCTGGTTATGTCTCTCTTCACATGACCTTCATGGTTGCCTTAGACCTCTTCAAATCACAGAAGTCACAGGGGTTTGGGATTTAATGAATGGTGACTGGCTTCTGCCACAGAAAACCCTTGAATAAGCTCAAGCAGAAGGTGCAAGATGTAATGGGACCCAGCTCTAGAAGTCATGCAGTGTCACTCCCATCACATCCTATTGTTCAAACCTGACTGAGAGAGAGACGGCCATAATCATGTGGAGAAGACTACACCAGGGCAAGGGTATGTTGACTTGTGATTCAACTCGTGATTCATGGCAAGTCATCCTAGAATAGTACTGTTCCACCATCAGGCTCCAGAGACGTTCACACTTCCCACATACCCCAAACTCTGACCACTCTCCAAGGAATTCCCAAGTGTAATACAAGAACAGCAACAAGCTTAAGACAGAAGTTCAGGATTTCACCATTTAAACCAGGACCTGGGGCTCACAAACTGAACTGAGTATAACTTCTCAGGTGCAGTTCTTTTCAATATGTGCACTCATGGGGCAAAATACCTCATACATGCCAAACCTACATGCTGAAACAGACACAGAATAAATGCAATCCACATTTTCAGAGGCAGCAGTAGGAGATGTATAGCAACCACAGCTTCATATCACATAGGACACCCAGTCAGGCTCATATCTACCCTTCTCTCTAGGACTGTTTTCTCTGTAGTGACTGAGTCCACCCTCCATTCTCAGCTTCTTTGAGTTCTTGCCAAGATATCAGAATGAAAATTCCAGGGGCTCTGATTGTTCATCAACTTCTCAGCAAGTCCAGAGAACCACTTAGCAGACACACTACTCAGAAGACACTATTCCTAAAAACATACCAGGGCAGATTTAAGAAAGTGGGGTGGAGGGGGTCAATGAGAGGGAAAGGGGAACATCTGTAATACTTTCATCAACAAAGATAAAAAATAAAACAGAGCCTGGTACATCAAACAAAGGAAGGTCTTCTGGAAATAGCCTCTCTGTCCACAAGGACTACCTCAGGCATCAATCGTGTCATCTCTCACCATGTCCACTGCCACAGCGTCTTCTTCAACTCCAACCTCACTAACTGGAATGACTCTTTCCTTAGCCTTCCTCCAACCTAACATCCAGAAGCCTTGAGTTGGCAGCACATGGCTAATGGCGCTCTTCAGGCCTTTCTTCTGTGTAGAGAGCGCCTGGGGGGCACCTGAGCCAAGGGTCCTCGGCTGAGTACAGCAGCGTTGGCAAAGCCATGACCTGGAGACATACCTCGCCAAAGGCAGGGATGTGGTCAGTCTTGACCTTTAGCTCAGGCGCCAGGGGGTGGGTGTAATTATCTAAGTTCAGCCAGGCCCCAGGTGCAGATGCAATTATCAGGGTCCCATCAGGCCTGACGATTCTGAGAAGCCACAAGAAGGAAGAATTGTGGCTTGATCTTTCAGCATGATTTCACATAATTTCCTTTGTCTTAAACTCTAGTAAAACTTCTTGGTATCATGCTGTATATAATAAACCCGCTGCACTAGCTCTGGGTCACTGTCTCTCCATCAGAGGGCAGTGTCCCACCTGGTCCCAGCTTTCCCTACTGTCTCTGTGTCTGTCTCTTTCTTTTTCTCAATCCCCCCTCGCCCCTACTCAGGACTCATCTGCTCTCTAGCTGTACTGGTCACAGCTAAGAGAGAACACTTATACTTGTGGGTTTCATTTAATACTGGAATGAAATGTCCCCCATGCAGTATCCATAAACTTTGAACTTTGATTGGACACAATCTCCTCCTTTCACCTACTTTGCCTTGATCTTGGTCACTTTTCATTTGTTTGTTTGTTTGCTTTTATTAATCCTCACGCGAGGATATTTTATCCCATTGATTTTTTAGACAAAGCGGAATACCTACACAATCCTACCTGGTGGCCCTGCCAAACAAACTCACAATAATTGCGCTTTCTTTGAATGATATTCGTCAACTCAGTCCACTTCATGTGGATTATTACACCCCTCTTTATCTGCTTTGTACTCATGGTGGCCAGGAGTGATGTCTCAGTTACTAGGGTATGACATAGAGAGTCCAGGGATCACTGTTCAATAAGAAATCTTTGAAGAACCTCAGAGGACTTCCCCATTTTTCTCAATCCTCCTCAATGCAAATCTCCCAGCAGATAAGGCTCTCAGAGAACAGAAAGACCTTCTTATTCCCTCAAGCAGTGATGGCGAACCTATGACACGCTTGTCCAACGTGACACGCGAACTCATTTTTTTGGTTGATGTTTCTTTGTTAAATGGCATTTAAATATATAAAATAAATATCAAAAATATAAATCTTTGTTTTACTATGGTTGCAAATGTCAAAAAATTTCTATATGTGACATGGCACCAGAGTTAAGTTAGGGTTTTTCAAAATGCTGACACGCCGAGCTCAAAAGGTTCGCCATCACTGCCCTAAAGCCTTCCCTTCTCAGTGTCTGTTGCTGGTCCATGACTGATATGACACCTTCAAAACAGTAAGTTCTGGGTCTTTGGCCTTATTTCCATTCCTCTCCATCTACCAAATCTCTTGGTTACCTGATATCTCAGGTGTTCTATGAGTGACAGCAAATCTCTAAATTTGGATTTTTATACATGAGTTGTTCACTACACATCAAATTTTTATTGCACACAGAAGATTTCATCCAGATTTTGTTGAGCCTAGAGTTTATAAAACTTGAATTTCATATGATTTAGGAAAAAGAATGTAAAGTTGTGAACACAAAATTGAATGTTTACTTAGAACCAGTAATCACCAAAAGTCATAAATTTTAAAGAGTTAACAAATACAACAAACATTAAAAATGTAGAAAAATCACAGTATTATCTTTAGTATTAATAGGTCGACATCCCCTAAAATTATTTTTTTCTCACAAACTCTGATTACCTCTAAATATGACAAAGATTTTGTAGCATTATTTTCTATAGAGAGGTTGGAAAGACAATTCAGTATTTCCTCTGGTGTGGCTATTCACAATTTATTTTAAATTACAAATAAAGTATTTTAATAAAAAGAAACTAGTGCGTTCTGTTCTAATACTATCCTTGATACCCAAGTCTGCAAAGCTTTCCTCTCTGTGGTGTTGTCCGTGGTGCTAATGTGAGGTTAGCATCCTGTTTCCAAGTGAAGGGCAAGGCAGACAGAATAAGAGGACTTTAATAAAATCTTATATCTCCTCAGGCAAACATAGCACTATTGACTATCTATTACATCCTATAAAGAACTTCAATCTTAGGCCACAGCATTAAGAGCTCCTGGTTTTGATTACATAAGTTCTTTTTAAATGACCTGCTATTTTAAAAAATATATTTGTATTGATTTCAGAGAGGAAGGGAGAGGGAGAGTGAGCTAGAAATATCAATGAAGAAGGAGAATCATTGATTGGCTGCCTTCTGCACACCAACTCTGGGGATTGATCCCACAACCCAGGTATGTGCTCTGACCGAGAATTGAACTGTGACCTCCTGGTTCATAGGTTGACTCTCAACCACTGAACCACACCAGCGGGGCAAATGACCTTTTTTTAAACTTAATTTTTATTATTGACACGATTACATTTCCCTGCCGTTGCCCACCTCCATGCAGCCCCAGCCCCCTTCCCTCTGGCCATCACCACACTGTTGTTGTTCTTTGAATAATCCCTTCACGTTTTTTCATCCACTTTCCACCACACCCCTCCCCTTTGACAACTGTCACTCTGTTCCATGTATTCCTACCTCTGGTTCTATTTTGATCCTCAGTTTATTGCATTAATTAGATTCCACCTGTAAGTGAGAGCATATAGCATTTGTCTTTCTCTGACTGGCTTATTTTGATCAGCATAATAATCTCCAGGTCTACCCATGCTGTCATCAAAGGTAGTCATTCCTTCCTTTTTACAGCTATGTAATATCCATTATGAAATGTGCCACAAATTTATCCACTCATCTACTGATAGTCAGATCTTGTCCGTTGTATATAAAGCTGCTATGAACATAGGGGTGCATATACTCTTTCTAATTGACATTTCAGGATTCTTAGAATGTATTTCCAGAAGTGAGATTGCTGAATCAAAAGGCAGCAGAACAGAATAGAGAACTCAGAAATTAGCCCACACGTTATGGTCAATTAATATTTGACAAAGGAGGCAAGAGTGTACAATGGAGTAAGGACAGTCTTTTCAATAAATGGTGTTGGGAAAATTGGACAGGCACATGCAAAAAAATGAAACTAGTCCATCAACTTACACCATACACCAGAGTAAACTCAAAATGAATAAAAGACTTACATGTAAGTAATGAAACCAAAAAATCCTAGAACAAAACAATAGGCAGTCAAACCTCAGACATCTCTCATAGCAACATTTTTGCCAATATATCTCCTAGGACAAGGGAAACAAAGGGAAAAAGTAAACAAATGGGACTACATCAAACTAAAAGGCTTCTGAACATCATCAACAAAATGAAAAGTGAACCCACACTATAAGCGAACATATTTGCCAGTGATACATCTGATAAAGGGTTAATTTCCAAAAAAAATATAAAGATAAACAGTACAATTTAAAAACATGGGTAAAGGCCTGGCTGGTGTTGCTCAATGCTTGAGCTTGGACCCATGAAGCAGGAGGTCATGGCTCAATTCCCGATCAGAGCATATGCCTGAGTTGCGGGTTCAGTCCTCAGGAGGGGTGTCCAGGAGGCAGCTGATCAATGATTCTCTCTAATTATTGATGGTTCTTTTTTCTCTTTTCCTTTCTCTTTCTCTATCTGAAATCAATAAAAACTATTTTTAAAAATGGGCAAAGAACCTGAATGGACACTCCCCCAAAGAGGACATAGGAGTGATCAATAGACATATGAAAAACGCTCAGCATCACTAATCATCAGAGAGATGCAAATTAAAACTACAATGAGATATCACCTCACACCTGCCAGAATGGCAACCACCAATAAATCAACAAACAAGTGCTGGTAAAGATGTGAAGCTGTTACGGAAGAGCAGAGAAAAACCAAGCAATGCTCAGACAAATGGAGTTGTACAGATTTATTACGCTGGTGGGCTCAGAGCAGAATATCTCTCTCAAATTCTGAGCAACAACATGGAGGGAGTTTTCCCTTTTTATATCTTTCCCAGTCCTTTGTCTTCCAAATATAAGGTTTCCCGTCCCCCTATGCAAGTTCTTAAAGAGCTCCATGTGATGGGGCTTTGAAACCTCAACCAAAGGCCTGGCCTGGCGCCAGCACTGATAACTTCTTCTGGGGATGGGTTATGGCCCCTCTAAAATAGGAGTAGTATTTTGGGTAAACAGGTATTGCAGGACCAGATAATTAATAGGGCAGTGACTAGATTCAGATTGCTAGCCCCCAAAAAGTCTCTTTTTCCCCATCAAAGCAAAGGGAACCCTTGTGCAATGTTGGTGGGAATTCCAGACTGGTGCAGCCACTGTGGAAATCAGTATGGCGTTTCCTTAAGAAATGGAATTCCCTTTTGACTCAGCGATCTTACTTTTATTTTTGTAAATAAATGAGTTGTAGATCAAAATCCTTCTGATAGATGAAGCATAAATTTACATTTGATTTTCTGAATTGCTTCAGATTTTTCTAACAGGAATTTTTATGCAACAGAGGTTAAGCCTGAAGAAGTACTCAATTTTCTGTTTATTTCATATACAGATCATGCAACAATTATTCAAATATTTACTCGTTTTTCCCCCAAAGAACCAAGATGTTGTAATAGTTGCTCAGACTGAAAAAATATTATTTTCATTTTTATAGGAATGCAATTGTGAAACAGACCTACACAATGTCACATAAACCATATATTAAGATGAACTCCAAAACATCATTTTGAAAAAATATATGCACCCCTATGTTCACAGCAACATTATTTACAATAGCCAAGATCTGGAAACAGTCCAAGTGCCCATCAGTAGATGAGTGGATAAAAAAGCTGTAGTACATTTACACGGTGGAATGCTACATGGCCATAAAAAGAAGGAACTCTTACCTTTTGCATAGATGGACTTGAAGATTATTGTGTAAGCGAAATAAGCCAGTCAGAGAAAGACCATATGATCTCACTTATAGGTGGAATCTAATGAACAAAATAAACTGATGATCAAAATAGAACCAGAGGCAGGGATACATGGAACAGACTGACCGTTGTCAGAGGGGTGGGGGGCAGGGGAGACTGGATGAAAGAAGGTGAGGGATTAACCAAAGAACATGTATGCACAACCTATAGGCAGAAGGACAAAGGACCTGAACGGATACTTACTTCTGTGTAACAGTGTGGTGATGGCCAGAGGGAAGAGGGCAGGGCAGGAGAGGTGGGCAAAGATGGGGGGAAAGGGGACATCTGTAATAGTGTCAATAATACAAATAAACTTAAAATAGACACAACATTAGTATAGAGATAATTCAATAACAGTTAGAAATTATTCTGAATATTAAAATACTAATACTTTTTATTAATAAAGGGTCAGTGTAACAGTTAAGCAGAAATTGCAAGATATTTTAAGAAAAAAAGAAGAGATAGCCACAGCATGTTTATGGCACTACAGCAGCATTTTACATTTTGGGTCCACAAGGTAAGTTAAGTAAATAGCTGGTAAACACCACAGAGGCAGGATCCCTATCACAAGGCTTTGAGAGCTAAGATAAGGGGTTTGAACTTTGAGGACATTTGTGAGCAGGAAAGCAACAAGGTCACCTGCTGGCATCATAAATAGAACAATTCATGAAAACCAAGTGTCTACCACCCCTGAAGATTGTCCCATTCCCAGGGTCCCTGCTGTGACAGCTTCACATGGAGAGAAAACCTGGTTTGGGAATCATGGATGTGAATTTTGTGGGGCCTCCCACAGAGAAGCTACTTCAAGTAGATGTGAGGAGGGAGAGCAGGAGCAACTGAGTGACCGAGGGTGCCTCAGTCCTAACCTACATATCTAAACAGGGACATTGCTTAATGCTCATAGAAACATTATGCATAATAATCCCAAAGAAGAAAGAACCCAAATATCAAAAATAGGTGTCCCTCTGCCCTAGCTGTTTTGGCTCAGTGGCTAGAGCATTGGCCTGAGCCCTGAAGAGTCCCGGGTTTGCTTCCAGCTAAGGGCACATACCACGGTCACAGGCTGGATCCCGGCCCTGGTTGGGGTGTGCAGAAGGCAACCAACCAATGTGTCTCTCTCACATCAATGTTTCTCTCTGTGTGTCTTTCCCCCTCCCTTCCACTCTCTCTCAAAATCTAGAACGATATCCTCAGGTGAGGATTAACAACAAGAAAAATTACATGTCCCTCCCCGTTACCTCCTGTGTCCTCACCTTCCCAAGAAAACTACATCCTGAAATTGTCATTCATTGTTTTTACTTACAGTTTTACTACCTATGTCTGCCAGAACAATGATCAAGGAAACTATAAAACACATATAATTTAATAGGAGACTGGAATCCATCGACTCATACACCATATTAATAGAGGAGAGTCATTTTTTAAATTCTAGTTCTCCTCTACAATAACCCAAGAAGTCATCCGTTTTTTAAACAATATCCCAATAGGATTTTTACAGAAATTTTCACACTGATTCAGTCTCACAAGATGTCTATAAATCATATATTAATGTGTCTAATATAATTACAGTAAGACATCTTGCATTGGAGTATATAGGCATATAAATCAATATGGAAGAACAAAAGTCATAGAAAAAGACCAAGGCATAGAGGTGGCATGACAAGTGAGCCGGGATGGCAGATCCCCTAGAAGTTACAAGCCTTCTGGGCTGCAACTTGGGGTCTTACAACAGGGGGGTGAGCAGAGATGTAGCCAGAGACTTAGAGTCAAGAGGGAAGGAAGGGGGTGGGGGAATGGAAGGGAGGGAGGCATGGAGAAGAATGTGATGAAACATGAAAGAAGGGGGAAAGGAGAGAGGATGAGGAGGGGTAAAGACAGAGAGGTGGCCTAAGAGTAATGCCCCGTCGCTCTATCCTCACTCTTCTCTAATGTCCTTCGGTTTTGAATATTTTACCTTTTTGTTGTATGAAGTAAACTTTTGCCTGGGGTATAATGATACAGACTAGTATCGAAAAGTACAGAAATCTTAAGTTTAGGGTGAATATGGGTTCACATCCAGCTCAGTGGCTGGGGATATTGAGGTGAACAAGAAAGATTGTCCCCTGTCTTGTGGAACTCACAGTCACTGTTATGATCCAAGAAAAGGGTTCTCTTTCTCTAAAGGTTTTCAAAACAAACCTTTCAGGTGTAGAAAAACATCAGAAAGTCAATTGTATAACTATTTTCATATCATCCTTTA